ATATATATCTTCCTCTACGCGGCTAATATCGACATGTTTCGCTCAATTAAAATCCGTTATGTTTTATTTTCAAAGGAAAAAAAGAAAGGAAAAAACAGAATAATGCCCGTTTCCAACAATATAGTTAAATTTTTATTTTTATTCAACTATTTATCCTTTCCTAGTTATAATTAGTTATAATTAGTTATAATTCATAACCACGAAATAAGACGACCTTCGAGAAGTTTTTCCTTAAGAAATTCTTTAATTTAAGATTGTCTTGATAAAAACGACCTTAATCAAACAAGAATTTCTTGAAATTATTTGATATTCGGCTGTTTCCATAATGTTTTCGGTTGCATTCTCCAATAGAAACACTGCATTTGAGAAGTATAAATTTACGAAATATGTTATTATATTATCTTTTATATGACTGTAAGAATTCCGACTTGAAGTGCGTTCCCTGGTGAAAAAATTTCGCTGAAATTATTTATTTTATGTTTGGAACATTTTAACAAAATTGGTGATTGAAAAATTATTGAAATTTCACTGAAAGTTAATTTTTCAGCTGACATACTGAAAAATAAAATTGAACCGAAATTTCTCTGAACTTGTGTAGAAACTTTTCGGAAATTTTGCTTAAAATTTCTTTAAAATTTTATTTAAATTTTGCTAAAAATAAATTTTTCAACAAAAATAACTAAAATTAAACTGAATTTTTTCTGAAATGCTGTTCCAAAACGAGGATTAATTTCAATAAAATTTTTCCATCAGAGTTGAAGAACAGATTTTACAGATCTGTCTTGTCCGTCTTGTCTGTATTTTTCCTGGAATACTGCAGGTGATAATTAATGTTAAGAAGATCGCGTTCACCTTAAATTTTGATAAAAATACACTGAATCAATGTGTTTTCATGTAAAAATATTTGACAAGAAAAAGGTGTCGCGTTGCTTCGTGAACCGAAATATATCATTAAAGTTGACGACTATTTAGGTTAGGAAATCTGTCACAGCAGTGGTTCATTGTTTTTGAAACACAAACTCACTGCTTTAAAAATAATATAAAAAAATAATTTGTATTTTTAAAGCAATAAATTTGTGTTTTTAAAGCAGATTTGTTTTAAAGCAGAGAAGCTTAAGTTATTTAAAATTAATACTTTTTAATTTTTTTTATATGAATTAAAGTTTAAATCCAGCATTTCTTTAAAATACTATAACTGTAAACGTGATTTCTTCGTTATCCAAATTCCTATAAATTTTGAAAAAAAGTTTTATAATGTATTATTAAATTTTGATTAATTAAAATTCATAATATTACCTAACGATTTAAATATAAATAAATATCATGAATCTCTCGCGTTTCCGAGTTTTTGTATATGCTTGTTTTAATATAAAACATAAAATGTCATAAAAAATCTTCTGATGTTGCATTTATATAGGCAAAATTTACAAGAATCATATGCGTGATCAATTTATGAAATTTATTAAATCTCGGTCAAAATCTTTCCCGTATGAATTTTGGCCATAAATTTATCAACAAATTTTTGAACAGCGAGTCAAGAATCTTTATTTAATTGCTTTATTGGATATATCATTTTTCAGTACAATCAAATAAGAATCTGCAGTAGAGAAATATCTTGTCTGTCTACAAGAACTTGCATGTGATCACAACGTATGATCATATCGATACATTTAAATATGACAGATTTCCTAATCTCAATACTCATCAACTTTGATGTGTAATATCTTGATTCGCGGGACAGAGTGATATTTTTTTATCAAATATTTATTTTTTACGCGAAAAAGTATTTATTCAATGTATTTTTATTAAAATTTGAGATGAATGAAGTCTTCTTAACATTTTTAATTTTTGCTTAAGTCTTGGCGAAGATTGTCTTATTTATTATATATACATGTCAAATAAGATGTCTTATAATGACTATGAATTATAATATGAGTAACTAGAAAGTAATCTTAAGTCTATGCTTATTTTAAACAAGATGTGTTTATGAATCATATCAAAACTGTTCAAGACATTTTGAAATAAGATCGTCTTCGATAAGATTTAACTTGATTTTACTCAAGTACCATCTTATTTTTCGACTATAAATCTAGAAAACATCTTAAAACCATACTTAAGACAGTCTTGAAAATAAGAACGGATTATAAATACCGCTATAAGAATTAAAAAAAGATGAAAAATAACGCATTGTTAATTATATGTGCTCGTGTTTTCTCAGTGATGACCGCGAATTTACAATAGAATCTTATCATTATCAATTATGGAGCTTTATTATATCTCCGGAATACTTTCTCATTGTGAAGATTTACCTTTACGTATTCCTCGTTCTTCGGGAATGGTTCATTTGCACACTGTTGTAATTGTCCGCTGCCAATCACAGCGACTTCTGCGTAGGAAACGTTTTTTTATTTTTTTTTTCCAGTGCTATGATTGGCTTTTGTGCAACTGACTCGCGCAATTGATGCAATTGATATACCTCATTCTTATGAGGAATGTCGTACATTCCTCGCCGTTTTCACAATAAGTATCATTTCTGCTTAGCGTGCGAAGGCTTTTTCGAATATCGCTTGCCATGAAATTCATAAAATCAATTTTACATACGATCCTCTTTTGCAATATATGGATCTGTATTCATGTCCTCGAGTCACAAATATAATAAAAGATTCCCGTGAAGTCAAATTCAAATTTTAATAAAACTATTTAGGGGAAAGTGGGGGAATTGTGCGCAGCGAGTAATTGTGCGCATCCTGGTCTGGTACTTTTCCAATAAATGAAGACATCACCGTGGTGAAATTTTTATGCAGGAAGTTATAAGACTCTTAAGATATAACTACAAAAAATACGACATAAATACATTGCTAACCAGAAAAATACAAAAAAAAGTGAAATCACATTTCTTTTCTTGTTATTTTAGCTTTCAAAAAATAAGTCTGTATTTTTAATTTTTTTTTGTTTGTTTAAAGTTGCATACGTTATTAAAATACATTATTATGTGCATCTTTTGAGCTGTTATTTATTAAGTTTGATTAGGAATGGTTGCAGTAATCGTATTTCGTACCGAGTCAAGTCACGGCGGACAACTGTGCGCAAGCGTTTCGAAATGCGTACAAATGTTACCCATCTTCCATATGTATAACTAGCACTAATTTTTTCGTTCTTTTTTGGCATTATTATTTTATTTTATCATTTCATTTGCTAAAGTCTATGTCGATTATTATTATATTAGTATTTTTTCTTAATATATACAATGTATTTATAAAATATAATATATTTAATACATATTTACTGCAATATAATGAACCTTTTTTATTGTTTGATTTCTTTGATTATTTTTTGATTTCTTTATCAACATTCCTCAATTCATTCATTTCTTACGACTTTTGTTTTGCGCACAATTACCCAGCACATGCGCACAATTACTCGACGCGCGAGAAATTTTTTCGTTTTTCCATTTTTTCCTTTTGGTTAAATACAATCTTATTGAATAAAAATCTATTCGATATAAGGAATGGTAGAATTATTCGTAATGATAGAAGAATGTTTATAGTTTCTATTTCCATACTTATATCGCTTTACTTGGAAACTTGGAAAACTATTTCAGGGCAATAAATTTCCCTTACCATAGGTGCACATAATTCCCCCATTTTTCCCTATAGCTTACTTTTATATATAAATTTAGAAAATATCAGTTTCTTGCGGTAAATAAATTATTTTAAGAATAAAATCATCCTTTATAGTTATAGTTTTCAGCTTTTTTCATTAGCTATATCTTAAGAACTATTCGAAATATAAAAAAACATCTAATATAAAAATTTTATAAAATTACTTCTATGTGTCAACAATAATTTTAAAAATACAAATTTGGAAAAATTATTATATTTTTGAAAATATTGTAGATAAATAGAAGTAATTTCATTATAAAATTTTTGTATTAAACATTGTTTGATACTTCGAATAGTTTTTAAGATATAACGAAAAAACTGAGCATTGTTTTACATAAAAGGGGTAATTTACCTTCTAAATTATTTATTTGCCTCTAATATTTTCTAAATTCGTCTATGTATCATTTATATTAAGATATAGGTATACAAAATTTTATTAAAATCAAAATTTGACACTTTCTTTGTAAGTAGTCAACATATTTCCGATAATCATGCAATGAATAATAACCTTGAGCGTAAAGTACCTAATACGTGAATACGTTCGAGTGCCGAGAAAAATTATAAATAATGCATGGCCATAATCTCGACATAATTCACCAGCGATGTATAGTGTCGTAAGTTCCGAAAATGGCATAATGAAGTGTATTTTATGCTATATTGGTGTGAAAATTATTGCGTTTCGTAAACTATTAATAATTTACAATCGAAAAAATCCTTGTGTTGATAGCGCTTGTAAAATGCACTTCAGAATCATACCATTTTCAGAACGACTCGCGACTATGCGACGCCAGCGAATTGAAATTGCAGCGAACGCATTCTTTCATAAATCGGCGATTTCACGTGAATAAATAAATAAATAAATATATGTACATATATATATGTATATTTACATAATATCTAATTCCTAAAACAATACAAAGCTACACAAATCTCAGTCAGTCTTTTTTTTAGCGAATTTCATTCAGCACATACACTAAAAAAATAGCAGTGTGAACTTAACACCGTGCGGTATCTACATAATTTTCACTGTGTTGATATTACCAACATAGTGAATTTAAGATCATGCTTTAAATCTACACTTATAATATTAAATCCATTCCATGATATTGATATAATCATCAGTTTTTAATTTCCATATGACATTTTTTAGTGAAATCACATTGAAATTATGCTCCAATCGTCCACTTCCTCCCTCCCTCTCATTCTTTCTCTCTTTCTTTCTTAGTATCTTGTCGCGTCGCATATCGTAGTTTCACGATATCAAAATATCATATCATAGGCGCCGGAACGTAACGCGCAACCATTACGTCGAAACCATGGCATGCCGATCGTACCTACCTTTTGTGAGATGAAAACGGCAGTAGTGGAACGAAGGACAAGGATCGTACTTGGTCGTCAGTAGGTAAGTTTCCGTACGACTCCCGCGCGAACCGAGATTCTAATTTCCAATGAGGATTTTTCCTCTTCTCTGCCTCTCTCTCTCTCTCTCTCTCTCTCTCTTTTTCTTTCTTTCCTTTTTACGTGCGCGACGCCGCGAAAAATGCTCGCGCGGCACACCGGGGGTCACGGAAATTACGACGAAGCGCACGAATTTTCGAAGCGACACTCGACGTAACACGTCGACCGGCGTGAACTCGATCGAGAGAGAAGGGGAAGTGGAAAAAAAGAGGCGAAGGCGTCGTCGACGCCTGTCGTCGCCGCGTCCTTGGCGCGGCACGTCGCGTTGTGGCGTTGCGTGGCACGATACGACGTAACGTAACGCCTCCAGCCAGCTTCCACGGCGAACTGTCTACGTTTGCACTGGACTGCACCGGCTGATAACTGACACATTGACGGGATCGTAGTCAAGAACCGTCACTCGCCTACGAGTGTCACGCGTACTTCGTTGGAAAATAAAAATATACAGTCTACCGCACACTAACGCCCTCTCGTGGCCGCGGCCAGAATAGGAAACAGCAAGTCGAAACTTGGCTTGATGTAGTCGGCGTTGACTGTAGAACGTCTTCCAACAAATAACTCAATACAACACAATGATTTCTTTCTTGTTTATTGGCGAACAACAAGAATGTAATGATTTGCTGTGTTACGTATGTGTGTCTCTTTGGAAGATATCCGTAGATTACAGTAGATAACAAACGATTTTAGGATGACTCGATCAAACTCCGCTTACCTTGATCAGCAATTGATTCAACCGGCAGAATCGTTTGAAGCAATATTTCCAGTTATATAATTCATTGGTACTATTTCATATATCATTGGTATCATTGGTAATATTTCTTCAGACTTTTTCATGTCAAACAATAAAAAAATTAATTTTTTTTTGTCATTGTTAATAAAATAGTGTCAGTATTACTTATGATAAATTAATTAGTCAGTCATCCTTAATCATAGGATAACAATTTAAACATTGGCTGCGTTCAGCGGAATCAACAGTTGAGTGAGCGCTTACTGCTGTTGATGTATTTTTTCAGATCTAAAATGCTAATTAGATGATTGGTCATTGCGAGAAATATTGTCAAAGCTTCAGTGGTCGAATGATGAGAACGCTTGCACTAATCTGCTCAATATACGGAAAATTTGAGATCCTGGTTGAGGTAACCCAGTTAACACTAATCATTCTTGAAAGATTCGATTTGTATTTCAATGTACTGAATATTCCGGAACAGTAAAAAAATTTTCACAGAATGTTCACATATCAATGAAATGAATGTTCAGAATAATGTATAAATTGTTATACATTTATTTATTATTTATTATATATATTACTAAAATTACTTATCCATGAGCAGTATACACTTCTGCCGACAGAAGGCCATGGCGGAGATGCATTATCTCGTAAGTAGAATCACCTGGAAAAGAAAATTAATCCAAGAAAATTAAATTTCTTTTTATTTCTGAGCAAAATTGTTAATAAAAATTTTTTGTGGAAAGTTATTTGAAATATTATAAGATATACTAAAAGTCCTGACCGCGTGAGTGTACTTGGAAAACTTTCCCGCTTCAAAAAACTGGCCAAAAATGCGACTTGTTTTGTGAAAATATCTTTGAATTTTTATTTTATTTCATTTCAAAAATATCTCTGAATTTTGATTGATTGATTAAAATAAACTCATAAAAAAAATTTAACAAAATTATGAATAATTTCATTTCTTTTAAAGTTGTACTTTCAATACTTTTTGTGATAGAATTTTTTTAAGAATGTTATATTTTTTATCACTTTGAAAATGAATGCGGTTTTCGCAATTTTTTCATAAATGTCTCGGATCCGGCTATTTTTATAAAAATTTTTTTATAAAAATTTTTATAAAAAAAGAAGGTTACTATATATATAAATTCGCTATAAAATAATTTTTCATTCATCCTATGATTAATAATTTCCACGATATAATTTTAAGATCATTTTTCTTTTATTTTCGAACGAAATTTATTTCTTAATGTTTTAAATATTTTGGATTATTCCTACATGAAAAACATCCTTGTAATCAAATTGAAGGTTAATTTCCTACAAAATTTTTATTGAATATTATAGATGAATAGTTCCCGAGAGATGATGTTTCAAAGATATTAGGAGCCTCTCATTATCAATTTATATTAAAACATGAATTTATTTTATTTATCAATGCAGATACGTAATCAAATTGAAAAAAATAATATTTTTTCCAATTGTATTTTTCTCAAAATTTATATGTAAGATTCTAGTTCCACTCATTCCCCATAATTTTTAAAGAAACGGTTTCAAGAAATGTTGTCTTTTTTTGACATTTTTTTAAAAAACATGTTCTTTATTACTTTTTTACAAATATCTCAATTTCTACTGGGTTTGTGTAAAAAATATAGTATACCAAATTAAAGCTTATAAAATTTTTTTACAAAATTTCCTATGAAATTCTTTTTTACTCATTTTTTATCGTCAATGTTTGCGCATATCGTTATGTGAAAAGAATTTTTTGTGACGATTTTAGGACTGAAAATTATGTTCATAATTTGTGTACAAACGGTATTCGTAAAAATTAGGATAATGACACTTTCTGAGCTTATAATAAATATTAATAATAAATGATATTTTCTTAGGTCATATTTTTAGGACCAATACCCTGTTAAAAATTCCAGTTATGTCCAGATAAAAAGTATTGATATGTTCACATCAGGATAGAAAGACAAATTAGTCTTTAACTGGCATAAAATTCTTTCAAGTAAATATTAAGCACTGATTATTATAAACACTTCCATTTCATAGTACATAGTTGGACTCTCAGATAATCCAGACAGCATATGATATGCTAATATTCAATATTCATACTGAATGTATTAATTATGCCGAATAAATCAGAAATGTTAATGTGAAACGTCTCAGTAAAATATTATTTCTTGTATATTGTCAAGATATATCAAATATAAGAATTAAACTTCGATTCTGATGCTGAATATACTGCTATCATATCGATTATATCCAAGATCTCTATCATCATCTCTAAATTATTTTTGCGGTATACATTTGTCATATATTTTCAGAACAAACTCATAACATAAAATGCAGAACCAACGCTGCCTGCATTTCATTTTTATAAGCATTGCATTTATAACCCAGAAAAAATCTTCTATTTTTTCTTGGTTATCTTTTCTATAGTAATAATTTATTATTATTATCTTTTCTATAGTAATAATTTATTATTATAGAAATTATTTTTTACAAAATTTATATCTCATGACTGTGTTGATAAAAAAAATTTGTAAAAAATCATGGCAGCTTCTTCCGATGAATACTATAATATATCAAAATTTCAAATCAAAAATCCAAAAGTTCACGGGCACACTTGGGAATGCCCCATATACATATATGTATGTGTGTGTGTATGTGCATGCATACATGACATACTAGAGACATCACTATGATAACGCAGATACTGCATTGAGAGAAAAATATATCGTATTTGTGACTATAATTGCATGGTAAAATTATGGTTAGGAGCATTATTTTTATAGTTATTATTGCTATAATGTTAGTAATAATAATAACCTTATATAGTTCTATCAAACCGGACAAAAATTATATTATAAATTATGATAATTTAAAATATTAATATAATAAAATATGAAAATATGTATGGTAAAATAATAAAATAATAATTTTTATATAATAATTGCAATTATAATTATAATGAATAATTATATAATTATTTTTTCAACATTCGCAACTATATACATGTGATAACAATAATTAAAAAATATAATTTCAAAAATGGAAAATCATTCATTTTCAAATAGTGTGCATGACTATATTAATAGCACATTTGACTGTACTTCTAACTGCAAATTTACTATACGTATTATAAAAACTAAAAAGAAAATAATTGTAAAAGTAATTATATGCATTAAATGTTTGGAAATACTATAGTAATAGTATTTGATCACATTTACATAAATAATAATTTAACATTTTCCTTAAAAAAAAACTGCAAGAATAAGAATTTATATGACAATCAAAGCCAGTCATACTTATGCTCCAAAATAAAACATGCAACATACAGACGAAACATGCTCGCCACGATCTTTCGAGAATAATCGCATTGCTATTTCCTAACTAAATTAACAAATACTAGCATATTATTTTGTTTCCATGTAATCTTCTCAAATATTAATAATATTAAACTGTCAGCAGAGGCATGAAATTAAAAATGGTTACAGTAGGAAATATAAGTAATGTTGGCAGTGACTCGATCACAAGCGTGCGATTAGCTCAGCGTAAATGTTAGACTACCGTTCTAAAGATCGTAGGTCAAATCTCCCCGATGCGATGCATTTTCCAATAATTCAATTGTAGATAATAAGACAGAATATAAGTATGCAAAATAGAAAATAATAAATTGAATTGGAAAAAATAACAATAACAAAAAAATTATTTTCTTCGTTAAGATATAACTCTGTAACGTTTTTGTTACATAAAAAGGATTGTTTGGTCACAATTACCAATTATTACGTTTAAAATTAATAATGTTTATCATATGATTATGTAATCTAATTTTGCTATCAATTTCCAAATCTTGATAATAAATGTATGATTCTACGTACTTTTAATCATTTTTTCTCACAGTGTGTAGAGACTGGAGATATAGTGAAGACATATTCATACATCTCAGAATAACTACTGTATATCACTAGAAGTTCCTGTGCAAAAATCTATGAGATGAGAAATCGCGGACATAGTAGATTCTGAAGAAATACTCTGTACCTTCCAGACGCGTCTCGAATACTTGACGACATATCCAACATACGTTTGTGATTCTAATGTTGTCAGAACGTAGATGACTCACAGTGATTCAGAAAGCATAAATTCTTGAACATTGAATGAAAAAATCAAGTATCAAGTATATTAATCATTAAGGAGTCAAAATATTTATTTAGATGCGTATATATATATATTTCACTTTTTTCAAAATTATATCTAATTAAATGGAAGAATAGTTAGTTGCAATCATCTAACTTCAAGCATTTTTAAGTTTTCTTTAATTAAATAAAATGTGGAATATTGTTCAACATAAATTTATTAGGTGTACAACTTTGCTTCCGCCGTTTTCCTATAGATGGCTCTAGCGGTAAGTGGTGGTCGAAATAAATAGATCATAAACGTCATACAATAAACTTGGGCATCTGTCAACATAATCCCATAGAAACATTAGTCGATTTGTATCTGCATCATAAAGTTATTCTCGATTGAAAATGTCAGTTTACGAGCCAAATTCTCGTCATTTGCGGGAGGTTTTAATTTTTTGCTTCAATATGAAGAAATTTGCGGCTGAGGCTCATCGAATGCTCTCAAATACTTATGGTGAGGCCGCTATTAATAAAAGAACATGAGTGATTTCAACGCTTCAAGAACGGTGATTTTGACATCCAAGATCATGCTCTGTATTTGGTGGGACCAGCTCGGCGTAGTGTATTAT